AGAAAATAAAGAACATTTTTTGAATTAGATGATATTGAAGTTTTAATTTACCATACTTTATCAGATAATGTGGTAAAATGGTTACCAAACAGAAGATACATAGTACATAACCTACAACGTTTTGATACGTATTTTAAAACTATGCATTCATTGATGATATAAACGTTTGATACGCATTTTAAAAATTTGCACTCAACGTAAACTGGTATCTTATTAAAATCTGGTGTCCTCATGTTTCTTGAAATATTATTTGATTGGTGTTGCTATAGTACATTAGAAGTGTTTTCAAATACAGATTTTTATTTATTGTCTAAAAGATTCTTTCAAAATAATGTGTAGAGTAGTTAACAAATTTTCAAATTAATATTTGGAAAATTTGTAGTTACAAAAGTTATATTTTTGTTCTCCTCTCTTCTTTGAGGTGCTGGTCCCTCTATTCGATCTTTAAAAATTCCATTACTAATGATTTTTATTGGGTAATTGCATCGTACTAAAACGCGTTTTAGTTGTTAAAGTTTGATTTCCATTTTTGTTGGATTAGATACAAAACAAATAATTATTTAGCTTATGTAAAAGGTATGTTTTCTTTTGTATGTTTAGGGTGATGGCTATTTTAATTTAAATTATCATGGGAATTTATAGGTTTATAAAAAATAATCTTTTTCAATAATAATGTTATCGTGTAGAATAACTGTTATGTCTAAAAAGTTTAAAAATCGGTACTGTGCAGTTTTCGTATATGAAATATTACATTGTTCTTCTGTATATTTGATATCAGGGTGTAAAGAATTAAAACACTTTAAAAGCAAATTAAAATTAATTGATTTTAATAAAGCGACAAAACCATCATCCATGTATCTTTTAAAATTGTTTTGAATATTCTCGCATTCATTTGTATTGAAGAAGTTTGGTAAAACTTTAGTAATTATTTTTACATATATATTTTAAAATTTTCTTTTCAACAAGAATCAAGATATATTATATTATTGTTAATTATAGCTTTTTGTTTGTAAACCTTAATTACTTCCTTTTTAAACTTTGTATAGGAAATTCAGTATAAAAAGTTTTTTATAGTTTTGTAAATCTTATACACTGCTGAAGATTTTATATGAAAGACTATCTGTGTTAAATAAAAATTTAAAGTATTTATTAAAATTTAACTTATATATATATTTTACTTATCTTAGTTTGAATACTTTTTCTTTTATTACGTGGAACGGATTTTATGACCAGAAAACCGACTTCTTCTCGAAGTCTCTAACTGGTACATCAATTTAAACGATGTTACCAGGTGGATGGGAGTTATTTCTTAAGTTTTTTTTTATCTTTTTAATGGTTGTCTTTGTGTTTTATTTGCCACTTAAATGAGTGAAAATAATCAATTTGAGACTACAAAACTGACATAATAAGTTTACAGGCTACCTAGAAAATACAGTGAATTGACAAAAATTATTAAACCATTTAAAAATAAAAAACTATTTAAATAACCAATATTACAAAATAACAATAAAAATAAAATATCACAAAATAACCTGTTGTGTTTGGTGCTCGTTTTTTACTATCTATAAAATCAGATAAAATCATAAAAACTATGCTATATGTATAGTACAAAGCGGAAATCAAAGAACCTGATTGGTTTTAATAGTTTAATCTGTTCTGCTTAAAACTGTGGTAGATTTGATATTGCATAATATTTGAGACCAAATTATAGAAGAAAAAATATTTAAGCAGCCTAAAATTTCTAGCTTTTTCAGTGGTTGCAGATAAAATAAATGATACTTCCCCTAACGATCAGTAATGTGTGTCCATTCAACTTGTGCGTATGATAATGGGTTTTCAAACGATCCGAGAAAATTTTCTTGACTAATAGAATAATTTTATCGTTAAAGGGCATAGGAAACTAATTAATCAAACTTTTTAAGACCATTATCTTGATCTTTCTTACTTAGTTGGTCAAGTACACAATAGTGCATCAGGTATGTCTGGCTGATATATTGACGTCTATTAGCACGTACGGCAGCTGGCCCTTTCTGCAGTCTTAATGCATAATGGATGCTACGTTCTGAACATGTTTTTAAATTCTACTTGTTCTGTACGCAAAATTAAATACATGTTTAATACTGTGAAGAAACGCCCAACTTTTATTAACAATTCTTTTAATAAAAAAAGTAATGGCATTAAAAGTTGCATTGTCTAAACAAAACAATCAATAACAATTTATTGGAGCATTAAATGCCATTAACTTTGTAAAAAAACCTTTTATCGTGGCTTTATAACAAAAAAGAAACATGGGAGTAATCTTTTTTTGGCCGATTCAACACTGCTAATTATTTATTAAAGGTTTTAAAATAACTTTAGTCACTTCCCGTGTTTTATGTACGCAATTGTATAAAAACAAAGTCACTGAATAAAATGCATGCCGTTATTACAAAAAAGCAATTTAGTCTCTTTACCTAGATTCAGGTAATCAAATTATGAGTACACGATATTTAAACCAAGAGCAACTAGTTAAAAAAATGTTTGCTTTGTTACTCTTAGTGATTTCTCAACTTAGCTTGACCGATGTGGTTGAAACTGTAGGAATGTTTACTTTTTTAATTGAACCTCAAGATAAAAAAACTA